TTGATAGCGCGGAAACTCACGAAAATCCGTTAGTTAGGGAAGCTATAGATTATGCTGTAGAGTCTACAGGGAAGCTATAGATTATGCTGTAGAGTCTATAGCATAATCTATAGCTTCCGAAGATGAAGTACACAAAGAATGTTTACAGATCTCAATTAACCGATGAGCATCTCAAATCTCTTTTGATAATTGGTACAAGTAAAATTGATCCACAACTACAAAGTATTGTCGGTGAAAAATCACAATTACATAAATCTCATTAGTGTTTTTGTTTTACTGTGATTCATTTGAATTATTTGTTAGTTATTAATATGCTTAAACTTAGATATTTAAGTTAAGTGTTCTTTGTCATCATTTCTGTCGTTAAGTTTTACCTTGCAAGTAAATAAAACCGAGTAATTATCATTCTGTGTTTTCTTCTTCAACTTATCACAGCAATAGTAACAACAATTACGTAATCATTGGCTGTCGCGGCCCAGATTGATGACAGTAAATCATTGGCTGTCGCGGGCCGGATTGATGACACTGGCGGGCCGTAGTTTGGAGACCCCTGCTGTAGACGACCCCTCCCGGTATAAAATGAGGCCCTCATATTCCCCGTTAAAGGATGAACAGATCTTTCATCCATCCCACCCCAGCCAGGTAGGGGTACCCCGTGAAGGGCGGCATTGATGTCTGAGGACTTCATTCCATCAACATCCCCTCAGTCATGAACCCATTTGTCCTTCTTCGACAGAAATCAGTCAAAAGGGTAAGGGAGCTGGGCTCCAACCTGAACAAACTCAAGACGACGTGCAGAAATAAGTCCAGTTATCACCTAACAATCAAAAGTGAAGTAACTTGGTTTGGAGTCTTTTAATTTCAATTTTATATTTTTAATGTTCATTTATCAGCTCGTGTTAATAGTTCAATTTTCTTGTTTTTTTTTGGTTGTCTGTATGTTATTTACCTAATAAAATTGTTATTTTCGGTTAATCTAATCAACTTTTTTCAGGGATTTCAAATCATTTTATATCATATTAGACAATGGAAGTCCGAACTGATGAAATACACCACGAAACATTGTCAAACACCTTCAAACAAACATAATTGTTTCTTCCAAATTGAACTGAATATTTTGTTTTTCCATTGGCTGGATATGTATCAACAATTCCAGTGGATCATAAGCGCGAGCAAAAATTTTGTTCTTCAGAATCAATCATTCCCTTTTACAAATTGAGAGTATTTTTAAATCTGGGAAACGATTATATACAGTCGGTCATAAAATTCAATGATTTGACAAGATTAACAATTGTTTTATAATGTCTTTAAACAGAAACAGTTTGAAGTTTGGCAGGTGAATTATGGAAAAATAAAAAAATATAGAATGATAAGATTGGGACTGAAATAGCCCTGTGCCACGTATTTGATTGTAAGACATTCATCGAATGATTTTTAACCTGCACTTAGTTCCTTGAAGGTGATATATTATAATATATTATAGTCTAAACATACTTTAACTATTAGATGTAATGACGATATAAATTGAATAGTAACGTCCGTGTTTTAGTAAAACAAACCATTCGTCAAGTTCATATATATACACACATCAATAGTGTGTAAGGATTTCAAAAGAAATACAAGAAATAACTGTTTCACCAATTGAGAGGGCATAATTGGAGACTGGTGTAAATCAAATTATCTAAAAGAACAATTCGTTCAGGCCAGTCTCAACCTCCTACACTGTAGGTTAATGGACTGAGACCTATTAGATAGTTGGACCTGGACTGACATCGGGGTTCCCAAATGGGGAATGTTCCTCCTGACGAAAATCAAGTAGGTTTCATAAGAGAGCTCTAAAACAACGCATTTCAAACTCATCATTACAACATTTTTCTTTAAAAAATCATTTAAATCCTTAAAAAAGAGGAATGAAATAATGCATTCAACATTTAAAGGGATTCGTTTCTATTTCACCATTTGGCAACATCGGTTACAGCTAATTAAGGACAATGAATCTGTTACCTGGATGAGATAACAAAGATAACATATTTCAGAGGCGTGCTGTTCTGTTTACTTATGTTCCGAGTTCCGAGACATACAGTAACATATGACATTTTGTGCAAATAACCTATCTTCCTCTATATAAATAAATAACAAAACAACTGTTGTTTATGTGGCTTGTGGAGGTGGCATTGAACTATAATTCATATTTTGCCTTAATTGTTGATTTATAAAGATAATTTTACTTTTTTAAGTAGAATATCTAGGTACGTATAAATTATTTCAATTTGATATATGCGCTGTTGCCAATAAGTGAGTCAGAAACAAATCCCTTTGAAACTTAAAACCCAACATTTGAAACATCAATTTGAATACTTTTCGAAGTGAATTTGAAAAACTCATGAATTAAACTCAACTTTATTTTGTTCAAACTTGCATTTGCTGTAATAACCCAAATTGAGGAACATTCCCCATTGTGATGATAAGAATAAGGAACATTTTTACGGTGCTCAAGTATATTGTACAGGAGGTTCAAATGCCATAGTGGCCTACTAAACATATATTTTTTTAGTTTTGAAAGTTTTATAAAATTTTATTTTTGTGAAAGATGAAATATTTATTTGAAATTCATATCAATTAAGCTCCAACTGTTCGACAGTAGAGGTCAAGTCATTGAATTGAAGATTGTGATTGAAGGCCATTGTTCTTAAAATGACTAGGGCATTGGCATCCTTGAAATGAAACCATTTCTTCAAGTACTTTTCAAAAACAACTTGAATTCACCGCTTGAACTTTTTTTTGCCCTCTTCTAATTTCTTCATTGCCTTTCCAACAACAGATCCGTAAAAACTGTCTTCTATTCTTTTTCCAGTTTCTTGACTAACTTAACCATTGTTTCAGCCTCAAAAACAGGTGACACATTAATAAGAAAATGGAAAACTATGGCCATGTCATTAGTTGCACACTCTTCTACTGTGCTTTCTTTATTTAAAAGCAACAATCATTCAATACACTGTGAAATATCTTCCCCTTGAATGATAAAGAAAGAGGCTGTACACATTACACGCTGGTGCGGCGTGGCATGGGCAGACAGACGATTCGTCAAATATTTTGTGTTTAAAATTAGTTTTATCAGATGAATTTGCCCCTTCAACAAAATGTGGGACTTTTGCCGTTCCTTATCAAAGTTCACCGGGGCGCGGGACAAAAGTATAAATTAAGGGACTGCCCCTTAAAATCCGGGACGTTTGGCAACCCAGAATGACACATGTCTAATAAATATCAGTCCATTAACATACAGTGAAACTGGCCTGAAAGAAAGTATGCCCATTCAATTTTTGAAGTCTTCTTCCTTATACGAGGAATTGGGCAAATTTCGGATATGCGGTTAGTTACCTCGTTCACTGACATATATAGTGATGACAGACTTATTGTTTGTCGTTCGATTTAGCCTAGTTCGAGGAATGATACTTTGAAGGAATTCGATTTTTAATTATCGGAAATCATCGACTTTATGTTGATGAAAGATACTACCTTGCACTGACCAGTGGCCAAACAGCCCGTAACCGGTCTGCAAGTGTGTTCCAATAATTGGAAATCTATTGCGGCAGTTGTACCGCCAACAGCATATGCAGGAATAACTTCAGTGAAGAATCCTGCACTGACACCTGTTGGATATAATCTGACACCCTTCGTGGTATTAGCCAGTGGAGTAGTTGTTTCGTGATAGGTGTCAGTCCATTAAGTTACAGTGCATGTAGTTTGATGCTGACCTGAACGAATTGCTCTTTTAGACAATTTGAATAACTGTTTCGTTCAATTGCTCTACTAGTTCTACTAAACATCCATCCCAGTCCAGTTTTCAAATCAAAAACTGCAGGGGACCTCATGTATAGCGATACATGTGTTGGTATTTCATGTTTCCATAAGAAATAAAGTAACACATCAAGAAATCATCTGTATCTGCGAACAACGGAACATCACTTTTGACCGAGGAAAATCTCAGTAGAAAGAAGATCTAGTAAAAATTCGAGAAATTGATGAAGAAGTCATTCTTCTAATCTCTCAGGAACAACAGAACGGTATGTGGCTTCAAAAATATGAAAGTTCTTGAGATAATGTAATATTGAAGGGACTGGAAAAATCTATTCTGGGAATAAAATCATCCACATTTTCGCTGCCAGGTATTTTTAGTAAAGACGGAAGTGCACAGATGTCAAATTTCCGACTCTAGATGCCCTCAGAATCATCTACCAACAAGTCTCCATTTCATGATTATTATGTCTACTAAAAAAAAGGTTTTCCGAATCGAACGACAAAATTCTGAAATTAAATGTTCTACTTTATGGGTAGTTTGGGTTCAGGAGGGCCTTGTCTACTGGGTTCCAGGCCTTGAGGCTGGTCGAAAACGCCTCTCAAAATCTGTTCTGATTTTTGCCCTATATTGAAAAGATCTGATTTACTTGCAAGGACGTAGCAAGCGCCCTGTCAGAAGACAGTGCGTGTCGTCTCTGTTTGAAAGATGATAAAACAGCAACTTCGTTGACAAACTGGACTTGTTTATCGTGTATCGATGAAAGATACATAAGTATATCTGCTCACGAGATGGAACTGTCACAATTCTCATCTTAGACGAAGGTTTCATACATGCAGTCAAGCTGCGTTGAAATTATTTGAGTGTCAGGCACTTTGCTGTCTGCTGGACGCACGAGAAACATCTAGGAGACTAACCTCTGTGGAATACCTTGTATAAATGTATGTTGGATATAAGTCAATGTTCAGCGTGGTTTTAGCCTGGGAAGTAGTTGTTTTCTGACGGACCAGAGCCTACTGTGTAAGTAATTGGGACTGATGAATGTTTCGAAATTTTATTTCGAATTGTTCAGTTTCTTATTCATCAAATATACTCTAACATTGATGATGTGTGTATTTCCAATTGCGACAATTATTTTAGAAATAGATTGTGCGTACATGAAACATGCACCTAAAATTTTAACGATACTTGTGTGTACGAGACAGTCTATAAACATATTCAGATTCATTTACACTTGAGAAGAAAACGATTTTATAAAAATATCGTGTTAGATAAAGAATACTAGTAATAACTGTCAATTTCGTAGACTGTTTTCAATTACCTGGAAAATTTAATTTAGAAATTGCTTTCAAATAGGCAAAGGTGAGTAATATTTTTATTATAATCGAGAATTTGTTCGGGTTCTTGAAATCTGTGAAAATCAATCATTATTTGAAAAGAAAATGAATGCAAAGCATACAGGGCGTTTCAAATTCGATCATCACCATTGGGATCCCGGAAACTATGAGATATACGAAGATGGTTGAATTGGGGCAAAGTTGCGCATTTACTTGACTAACAGTATGCCGATAAGAAAATTTTGAAATTCCGAGTATATCGGGAGACATTCGAAAAAAGAAACAGAAATATGGAAAAATAGTTTTTATTTGTTTTCTGGCTTTATTTTTCTAAGGAGGTCTATTGAAATAAATATAGTTAAAAAAACTAAAAAACACGCTTTTGAAGAACAACGAACATGTACTCAAAAGAAAAAATAATATACTAATTTTGGCGAATGAAATAGATAGAAGATACATTGTTTGTCAAAATAAAATAACATTTGGATGAGTTATCTTTTCATTCAATGTAATATTTATAGAACGGTGTATTTATTATATTCTCCATGTACCATGAATAATTGAAATTCTCAATTTCACCAGATTTTCAAATCAGAATCCTTAGAAGCACGCCATCGACAGATTAATGGAGATGAATACTTTATACAGCGTGACTCACGGTCGATGGTAGGTTAGACGTTTCTGGAAAACGCAAAGCATGATTTTTCTGAAAATTTCACGTCTCACATTTCCTTACCTGTTTTATCGATCTAAAATATTTTCAGCATTGCGGCGTTGCCACTTCCATCAAAAAGTCCTAGCAACTTTATTTTTTTAAATGAAATACCCCATGTGTTAATACATTTTTGGAATCGCTCTGGTATTTTAATACTTTTTTGTTAATAATGTCCTATACCTATCTCTATCTGTTTTCGAGATAAAAAATTATTTGTGCTGAATATGGTCCAAAACATAGCCTTAATTGAAATTGAGCAAATCAGTACTCTCAATTCATGAAAAGTTGATATTTTGATGATAGTTTGGACAAACTCGAAATATTCAAATAACACACACAAGGGGTGGAAAACGCAACTCCTAAAATGTATTTCCAATGTAAATTTTTGTCTTATTATTTGTTTACCATTTAAATATTTATTTCCGATAACCTGTTTCATTCTAAACAAAAAATGTCTCTTGGTTTTTTTGCCCAAAATATACCACTTCGTAGCCAAAAATTATTTTACGAACAACTACAGAGATACATCGTCAGAAATGCGAAAATATGAAACTAATCTATCTAGTAGGTCGCTATTAGCGATAGTGACAATTAAATTGGTATGACGCAGTCAGTTTGTGAAAATGGCATACACAAATGAGGAAATGGCTGATATGCATTACGTTTACGGTCTGTCGCACGCAAATGGGTTAGAAGCTACATAAAGTTACATTGGAAATAAATTTTAGGGGTTGCGTTTTCCTCCCCTCACAACCATGGGGTAAACCAAATAAATTACTGGCTAAGTGTATTTTCGGTAGTACAGAACGTCACGTTGATTTCAATATTGTAACTTTATCAGTGCTTGTGAAAAAAATTGTTATACAAATTTTATGTACCCCCTTTAAGGGGTTGTATCTCTACGAGGGATGCTCCAATGAAGTTTCTTTATATGAAAGATCCTATCTTTTTCTCGATGAGGAATCACCTCCTTAAATGTTTAACATTTATTCAGGCTCTTTCTTTCAGTTTGTGTCTGAAAGGTATTTTTTTGCATGATTGACACATGTTGGTGAAGGGTTCAATTCGAAATTCATTGCTCTATTCTTTTCTTTGAAAGATCACCCATGAAGATGAATAGGTAGAAAGTCAGAAACTTTCATATGAATTTATCCCTCTTATAAATAAACGCCCTTCTACTTTTTTCATTCTGCAGGCACCGGAATATCCAGATAATCAATGGCTGAAAAATTTTGGATAATTATTCTTCTTTGCCATCTTCCGCAAAAATCATCGGCGACTGAAAACAGGTACACGGAAATGAATATTGTAAGTGTATTTCAACAAGTTTTTTCTAACCATTTTGAATATCAAACAAATGAAATTCTAATAAGTACTACAAACCCCTTTTTTCAATCAGGTTCTGAAAGATATGAGCCATATATTATAAACACAAAAGATGATTACGAAGTAACAACTCGGGTTGAAACAAGGCAAAAAATGATAAAACTGAGCTGTTTGTTGCCATATAGTGGTCACTTTGAACATTTAAAAGAATTGAAAATGTACTCAGGTTGGGCTTCTAGTTTGGAATTGCATACAAAATATATTTAATGTTTCGATTCTGCTTATCGTTGTACCTAGAGACAGAAATGTTACAGATTGGATACAAAATTGAAAGAACCATCAAATAGGTCTATATTAAAGTAGAAAGTGATACAAATCATGAAATTATGGAACAACAAAAATTAATTGGCGCTCCGGGGCGACTTCAGTAGTTCCAGTGGCGCATTTGCTTTTTCAGCTGCAGGAAAACCCGGAAAAATCTGCAGCACCACATAATCTGGAAATCTAGATCTGCCAATGTCCTCTCTTTCATAAAATGAAATGTAGGGTGTCTCCAAAGGCTCTAATAAATTCAAAACATCGCCAGAACACTTAGTGACACGACTATCGTCAAACTTATATCAGTCAATTCGTCTCTGACCAATGCGTAATAATGACCAGTTTCAACGCCAAAACCACAGTGAACAGTGACTGCATGGAGATTAAAATACTGATCTACTAGATTGAAGTGTTCCTCTATTCCGAACCTTCGTAAGAGTTTGGTGCTTCCGTCAGAGGTTGAGTCATGTTTGAAGATCATCAGTGTTATTATTAGATTGACTGGTGCCTCAGCTTTATATATTGTCTTATGATAGTCAGTTAGTTTACCGTATGCTTGGCAATACACCACTCGTTGAAAGTTCCATTTTCACATGAATTAACAATAAGCTTTGCACGGACTGGTTATCAGTCATATTAGGAAACGCTAGATAAAGTTTCAGAAAATCATATACGTTTTTGCTACCTCTTGAACATTTACTACAAAGTAAACAAGTGAGGATTTATCCAGCACAAGATCTACAAACACAAGACGAGATAGACTTTACGGAATCATTTAATCCAAAACGGTCAGAAATATTGATTTTGCTACTTTTTGCTAGCGAAGATTATTCAACAAGAACCCCAAGAATTCGGAATAATCCTCTTGTTGTCGTAACGAGTATCTAGTAAACTTCAAAGACTCCAGAAAATCGGTTGGTGGAAAAGATGATACATTCTTACAAAACGGCAACTGCATGAACAATTGTTTGAGTTTGGTGAATAAGTAGGAAACATTCTCGTTCATCATTAAAACCTCGTTCTTCTTCGTCATGGACAACACTTATAAAATGCTATTCATGTAGCAAGTGTTTCCTAAATTATCTAACCCAACTTTCTTCTGAAGATTTTCAGGAAAACTGTTTACTGATTCGTAAGGAAGAACATGTTTCACAGAATCTGTATCAGAACCATGCAGCTGCAATCGATCCTTCCAAATGATGAAGGGTTTCGTAGAGGGATCAATTCGACTCTTGCTTCATGAAGCTGTAGCTTCACGAGGACTGCAGCTAATATTTGTGGGGCAAGAATGAGCTAAGTCAATTGACCGCACTGAAAAAGAAGAAGGTGGATCAATCTCTTGCGAATTAACCTTGATAGGAGACTGATGAATATCCACAAATTTCAGCTTGTTTCGAAGAGATTTTAGTTTCGTACTGAAATGAGGGCAATGCATGATTTTATCAAAATTATGTGAAGGAGGAATAGTTCCAAGGACCGAAGCAGCATTACCACTACTATTATTGCCATTTCAAATTTTCTACATGTGCCTTGTTATTACCAAAGTTGACGTGTTTCACAATTTTTTCACAGACTCAATATCAAATAGCTCATTCATGATGGTTCGTTTCAACTGAAATGTATTGTATATTTCGTGACACATCAACAATGAAAGTAAATATTAGTGAATTATATCGATCATAAAACAATTTTCCAGATAGAGCAAGTGGAAAAGTATGGATATCCTATTGAAGAACATGAAGTTCAAACACATGATGACTATCTTCTGACTGTTTTTCGTATTCCACATGGAACAAATGGTAGTTTCCTTCCAAATAGAACCGCTGTACTTATTACCCATGGCTTGTTTGGGTCTGCCGAAAATTTCGTTATGCTTGGCCCGAATAAGTCTTTGGCTTACATGCTAGCAGATAACGGCTACGATGTCTGGCTAATGAACTCCAGAGGAACTTGGCACTCTAGAAAACATAAAACAATGAATCCAGATGAGGACGGAGCTTACTGGAAATTTACGTAAGTGTCACACATGCTAAGCCGAAATGAAACTTGAAAAGAGTTCATTCAGTATGTGAATACGTCATTTTATTCCATATTGTTTTAGCTCTCTAAGGAATTTTTGTTTTCGAAATTATATTGTGTTATTGCCAAGTTATTCCAGAAAAACCTATTTTGCACACAATTTTTTTCAATCACCACCCGCATGTCTACAGCAATCAAGTGGATTTTTGTAGAAATATTAGTCAACATCACTATGATCATTTTTGGAATCTCAACGTTCAGAAACACCATATAATGTGCTCGGTAAAACTGGTCAAGTTTCATTCATTTTCAAACAGACATAATTCAACTTTTTCAAATAGAACACTCTGTATTTTTTCATTTGTATGAAATGTTTCAACATTTCACAACATTTTTTATCGGAGGTATACTATAAGAAAAACGGATATTTCACAAATTATACCTAGTTTTATTATTTGTTGTAACCACAAAAAATTCAATAAATTGATGGATGTAGCCGTTACTACGTGGTAGGAGATCATGATGAAAAGAGAAATGAAAATTTCTATGTTTTTTACGCTAACATATTTTGGAAAAAGAACAGAAATTATCGCAGGTTTCTTCAGAAAAAACAATGTGGAAGTAGCATTCAGACCACATGCCAGATTATCTCATTTCCTTTTCAATGCCAAAGATAAGGTCGACAAGTTGAAAAAATCTGGAGTTTATAAGCTTAAGTGTCCGGAGTGTAATAGTGTATGCTGAACATAAAAGGTCCTTCAGACTAGGAAAAAATTATTCGACGTTTTCAAACCATTTCTTGGCATGCAACCACAAGTTTCCGAATCTAAACGATTCGGAAATTCTGCACTATGCCAGGAAGGGTTGCAAACTCAATTATTTAGAATCCTTGGAAATTCACAAGCATAAACATTGCGGGTGCAACCTGTTAAATTACCAAATCGATTTAATTGTGCATTGTGAACTGTATATTCAGGTACTCAATCAAGTACCTGAATGGTATATATTAGCGGATCTAATGAATCATTCTTAGTTTATTGTTTAAGTTTGATAATGTCCTTATAGGACGAAATTGCAGTAACGTTAGTTACAAATAAAAGTGGTAAAAAACATAGAAATTTTCATTTTCCTTTTCATCACAAAAAATTCATTTATTTACGATCAATTACTCAAATTTCTTTCAATAGAGGAGTCCAAAAGATGTTCAAATTCAAAATGGCGACCATTTTCTGCAACACATAATGTCAGTCTTTTTTTAAACGTATTCTCTACACGTTCCAGCATATCTTCTGGAATTTCCCTGAAAGCTCTAGTGATCCTTCGTTTCATGTCGTCTGTAGATGTTGGAGGAGTTTGATAGACAATCCGTTTAATACACCCCCATGAAAAAAATTCATTTTGGTCTGGTCAGGTGATCGAAATGATCGTTGAGGTATTTCCATACCCCAGTTTTGAAATGTGGTGGTGTACTGTTTTGTTCCATTAAAAAAATATAACTTTGGTTGGCCACGCTCGCCCGAATCACCCAGTATGCGAAAAAGTAATTTTGAAAGATGGTATTCATCGATATGACTGCAAAAAAATTGAGCAGTTCGGAAAATTGTTTCCTCTGATAGCAATGGACCAAGGGAATCTAATTGACTGACCCTGTAACTCATCAATCTAATCCCAATTGACATATGGAATACGGATTGTCATCTGGAAAAAGTAAATGTATTGCAAAAATGGATTCTGAGAATTATTCATAAAAAACTTACCTTTTCCAGTAATGAACTCTTTCTTTCGAGTGGAACACCAGATATAAGACCATCAAATACACTGCCAAAATTTCATTATGAACATACACAAATTTAAAATCAAACTGAAAGCCATCGATCATAGATATCCCACTCGAAAAAAAAAACACAACCGTCAAAATTCCCAAATGTGAAAAATATATCGGATAACGATGTACAAGCTTCTTAGGTCAAAATAAAACCCGCCAAAGTGCACTTTTCACTTTGCGGCACATTTGCACTAGGAAAAATGCATTAGGTTAATGTTGCTGCATTGTTATATGTCTCAATGGGCAGAAGACCCATGAGTGATATGTCCCAAAATAACGCCCGCTGTTAAATATTTGAAATTCACCTACCCGGGGACTGAATACGTAATAGCGATTGAAATAGTATAATTTTCTGCCTGAAGGATTTGATATTGGTGTATGAAGCTGATTTTCTCCTTGCAATCTCAAATTCAGTTCATATGATTTGTCAAATCGACATAGAAGGCTAACTTCCACATCCATTCACTATTTTCTAAATCGGCAAAAAGGGCGCTGCTTCTCATTTAAAAAAAATTCGCGCTCAAGGACTTTTCCGCAACTAATCCAGCGTACGGCAGTATGATATGGTAAATCATTTTCTCTAATCTGTTGAATAAACTCGCGGAATAATCGTTGATTCAGCCCAGTGGATCTGATGAAGTTAACAACTGATATGACTGGTTTTAGAACTTCAGACATATCCAAACATTTTCCGCACAAGGACTGTTGAATGATACAATGTAAGACTAATGGTTTTGAATCATCATCATTTTCTACAGCCTTTGACACAAGTGCAACCACTCCTTTATTTTTACCATACATATTTCTGCCTCCATCAGTTGTTATAGATTTCAAATTTCTCCATCGAAGGTTCTTTTTATTAATGGCATTTTCAACTCCTTGAAAATATCTGCCCCAGTTGTCGTGCCGTGAATACCATCAATATCAAGAAGTTCTTCATACACTTTATAGCTTTTATCTACTCCGCGAATAAAAATCAACACCTGAGCAGTATCTGACACATCCGTTGACTCATCCAATGCTAAAGAAAACCACTCATGATGTCCATTTTTGTCAGACAGTTGAGATGATATATTTTCTGCGATGTCTTGCACCCTCCGAGCCACGGTGTTTGCTGACAAACTGACACTTTTAAATAAATTTACCTTTTCGGGGCATATTTGTTCGGCTACTGCAATCAAGCATTCTTTTATCATTTCTCCATCGGTGAATGGTTTGTCACGTTTTCCGACTTCAAGAGCCACACGAAAGCTGGCGCGAGTTGCAGACTCTTGTTCAGTATTCGCTTTGGTAAATAAAGATTGCTGCGAATTGAGCCCGCGTTTCAAAGCTTCAAATTTTTCCTTCCGCAAACTTCCTCTATACTTGGAGTAACTTTGAAGATGTTTCGATTCATAGTGTCGTTTAATGTTATAGTCTTTGAGAACAGCTATGGTTTCATTACAAATTAAACCTACCGCCTTATTACTGGACTTAATCACAAAATACTGAAAGTTCCATTTTTCTTGGAACGTTCTGCATTCACTGTCGATTTTTCGCTTCTTTTCCATACTAACAAATCACACATAAAAACAATAAGTCAAATCAAAATACTTTTATTGGTGGGTGTTACTTTATTTCACAATAGACAGTTTCGCTTCCTTCGCCTTTCCTACGCAGACTAACTCGCAGTTGCGCCGCTAGCCTTTTTATATGCAATTATTACTGCCATCTCGAGGTGATCGGAATACACTAGCTACAACCAGAACTTTCTCGAACCAACGCAGTAATTTCAAATATTTAATTACGCCTAATGCCACCTGGCGGGTAGCTGAAAAAGATGGTACATAGTTCCACTACTCGCCACTAGATGTCGTTAAGTGTCACAATACACAATAATTGAAATGCAAAAAAACGTAAGTTTGTTTAGGTCGCGGTTTGTTTATGACAGAAATTGGCCCTTGGAACAAACTGAAAAAATCATTATGGCCCGAAGGCTTCAAAATTTGGAGAACCCTGCACTAGAGCATTGAGAAAGAGAGTCAGCAATAAAGTTCTTGTTTGAAAGATTTTCAGCTAAAAGTTTGACTTTAAAATACTTGTCAGAGTATTCATCAGCCGTAGATTTTTCTTTGTTCAAAGCATCTCCGCCGTCTAATGAAAAATCCACCATTTGTCTATGCAAATCCATCAGGACCTGGATTTTCTGCTCCAGAATATTTATTTTGCTGCATATGGCAATCTTGTCAGTGTTTTCTTGGCTGAACAAGTTCAAAATATCATCGAAAACCTGGTCGAACGTTCTTCGCTGCACTGCTAGTATCTTCACTACCTTCTCCAAAGTCGGTGTCCTGTCACGGTCGCCAAATATTCGAAATTCACCTACCCGGTGACTGAATACGTAAAATGTAGGACGAAATATGGATCAGAAACTATGAAAGTACTTAACAAACTCAAATATATTCAAAAAACGTTCAATACAATTGACTTATCAATCATATATCAATGACTGTTATTTGACAACTCTTGTTAGAGAGAATACAATGTGTACAAAAGAAAGTATAACAAATTCAGAAAATGAACTATCTGCGACACCCGCCGAATTTTTCTCTAATTACAATCCACCATCAATTATTCTTTCTTTTTTCAGGTGGCACGAAATTGGGGTGTTCGATATTCCTGCTATCATAGATTATATTTTGGATATGACCAAAGATAATGCGATACACTACGTAGGTCATTCACAAGGAGCCACAAGTTTGTTTGTAATGGGATCTGAAAAACGTCATTATAACAAGAAAATAAAATTAATGATTGCCATGGCACCTGCAGCAATCTTTCGGAACGTGAAGATACCAATTTTGAAAATCTTGGCAACCTTTTATAAAACACTGCAGGTGAATGACGATGAAAGTCTGAATTACAGCTTGGCAAATTTAGTTAGGCCTCTGAATAACAGATGCGCAGTAGATCGGCCGGCAGAGTGAGGCGAGAGTTCATTAACATCGAGGAACTCGTGTAGCTAACATCGTTTTAGTACAGTTGGTGAAGAAATTATTCTGTGTGGTGAACTGTGAGTTATTTGTTGTCATTGCAAGCATAATCATTCCAAGTTACTATGAATTCAATTATCTATGAATGAATAATCGGTTGTGAGTTTATCTATTATTTTTCAATTCATTTATCTCTGATGAGAATGTACTTATATATTATTTGCAATTGTATATCACCCGATATTTTTCAAGTATATTCCACTTGCACAAAAGGATAAATTGGGATTCCTATTCCCTACTAGTATATGTATATGTAGTTGTCAACATCTGTAAAAAGAATCCCGATAAAAGTTGGTAGCGGACAGTTAGCATCTCTCTTTATCGTTAGCGCATTTCAGAGGCACACGTAGATTTTTCAAGCTGTAGATTAAACTTGAAGCGGGTTTTCCAATCTTAGTATTTCAAATGTTACACTACAAGTAATGAAACATAGAAAACCCAAAAGGAAACATTTGAAGAAACACTAAGTGTTTTGTATTTCTTTATACTAGATGGAAGGGGTTATTTTTCGATTAAAATGCAATACTTTGATTTTTTCTTATGTGATATTTTATTTGTGAATTACAGATTTTAGCTGATCGCATCAATATTTTCGAATTTCCTCCACCATTTTTCTCTGCCGAGATGATTAGACATATATTAGGAGAAATATGCAGCCTGAATACGATGCTTTTGAACTTTTGCAAAATTTTTATAGATATATTCAATGGTGATGAAGAAGAACTTCTGGATCTGGTAAGGAAAAAGTTGTTTAATAATTGACGAATATAATCTCACGCATATCAGTAAATCTGAAAAAGATAAATGTATCTCTCCGTATGCTTCAGAAGCATTGACACAAAAAATATCTTTTTTGGAGTAACAAATTTCATTCGTGTATCGTATAGAATTCAACACGGCCCAATTTAATGGTTTATTAGATTAAAAATTTGATATTTGAAGCAACACCAAAATAATAAATTAGTTACTTAGGTTAGAATCTAGGACAAACAAAGGAACAGGATTCTTGATTATGGGTTTCTATTGGTTGATAATCTGTATCGTTATGAAAAATCTGTATCATAATGGATATCATCATGAAACGGATTATGATCATATAAGTGTATTGTTAGAGTACGGGTGTAGAAAAAGATATTTTTTCAAGGATGTAAGAGAATTCATAATAAACATGAAAGGTGATATAACATTTGATCGTGACTTTGCTCAATTTGTTGTAGTGCGTTATAAAATGAATGAAGTATTTTTGAAAAAAACCCTTTATTTTACTTTCTTGTGGAATAATGCACTATATTCAAACGAAAGTTAACACTTACTTCATCGAAGCTGTGAGAATTATTGAAATATGCCCTTTTTGTTATAAAAATTAATTGATACAGTTTATTGTATGGTTTTCACTATGAAGGGTTTTACAAAAACCGCTAGTTTTAATATGGATTTTTATCAAGTATCGGCAATTTCTATTCAACTTTTTTGTATATAAAGATTTTTTGCGTACCGAATATTTTGAGGACATTAGTTTTTACAAAAAAATTTTTAGTTTATACAAAAGAAAAATGTGAACCTGAAATGTTGAAAAATTAGTTTATTGTGTGAAAATATCTGAAAAAAGATTGCTTAGGTAACAGGATCAATTTTTTCTTGAAAAAATGTTTTCTTGCCGACGCACAGAGCGGTAAAAGCACCTAAAACGTGGCCAAAAATAAATTCTCACTTTTTAAAATATTATATATAGAAATTGACATATTGTGATATTCTTAATAAAAGACAAATCGAAAATGAAGATAAAATAAAATATTTTTTTGTATTGAAAAACGGTTCATCACATAAAACATAAAATGAGACAAAGGCAAAGAATACCATTATTACAAATGAATAAAACTACAACAAAACATGGATCTTATTAGCTTAGTCAACAGATTCCACTTCAACATGAGTTTTAATGAATATTATTCCTGAGGAAGGCTGTCATCCAGTTTGAAATACTGCTCAGCCTCAGCACCAAATGGTTGCCTTGGTTTGTTTTGTTTTCGCCTAATGCTAATAAGATATGGATCCAAAGTAAGCAAAAGTCGATTAAGTATAACTTCGTTGCACTCTCTTCTGGAAAACTTTCTGAAAAACTGTCTCTGTGCTGTCGAAAGTTTTAATTTCGAGCTTCCGCAGCTTCTTTCGATAATTGTCCAATCGGTAACAAGGCATGAGCTATAACGCTTGATGAGTGGACCAATATTTTGTGTACTGCAGGCGACAGGTTGTCAAGGGTATAAATGTATGTATTTACATTTCTGCTGTACTCTTGGCGAAGCTTGAACATTTTTCTAAGTTTATTTCAAAACCAGATGACAAAACCTCCAATATTCTGCCCTGCTTGACTAAAATGTCCTAACTAGCCAAATAATGAAAAGGAGATAAATGAGTTTTTGGGAATTATTCTATGCCGTCATCATTTTGAATTCTTTAAATTGGAAACTTTCCACAGTCCTGACTATTTTTTTGAAAATTATCATAAGTAATATATATTTCATGTAACATCATTATTATATTATATTAGAATGTCCTAACTAAAGTTAGGACATTCTAACTTAGGAAATAATGATATAATCAAGAAGGTTCACTTATTAGAATTTTATTTTCACCTGGAACACAATACCTCAATGATTTAATAGTGAGAAGTAAACTGAACAAACACTCTAAAAAAATAGTAATAATGAACAAGTTCATGAGAAACTACAAGTCATCATCACTCAGCTCCTCTGAAACTTCCAGTTCTTCCCAGAATGATAAACGATTTGTAGGAATGATCGGTCGCAATTTGGATATCAGATTATTCTTTTTCTCTGAAGAAATTCCTCTGTTAATATTTCCTTGAGTAGTCTTTGGTATATTCGCTTCAAAATACGTTGCTGTTAGAAAGTTCAGTTCCAAAGGTTCATCCGAGAATTTGTTTTTGTACCAGAGAGTTTTTTTATTTCTGTGGAACTGAACGAAAACCATGTCGTTGGAGATAGGGCTTGGGAGATATTGTCTGCAATTTATATTTGGAACTCAGATCCCTCCATTCAAAGAAATTTTCAATTTTCATATCGATCACATCAACTTTTGATGAATTAGATTGTTGGACGGCATTATTGAAGTCATTGAAATCGAATACCTTAGAATTCCTCTCTAAAGATAACTCGACTTGGTCGAGTTTCATGTTTGCAGGAGTCTGCAGACATGAAAGTGTGCCCTGCCTGAAAGTACTTCATGGTTAATAGTTCCACGTTCAGCTCATTACTATTCACAGTATATACCAAATAAGAAAAAAGAGCCCAGTTTTTGTTTTGAGCCGCACAGTTGTCTAACCAAATGGTAATATTTCGAATACCTCGATTTTTTTAAAGAAAAGCGTGAAATGTAGAAATTAAATCTTCCTTTTTTCGACCAGATACGCATTCTTGCCATATTGCTGCTAGAGGTTTGACAGTCTTCGTGAACTTCCCTACGATACAAATGATTCATTAAATGCAATGATCCTTGAAAAAAATATAGTTTCCTTGAACATATCTGCTCGAGGTAACATTATCACCTGAAAAAAGTAACATGTATAGATTATAAACTTTTTTTACGTATAGCCCACCTTCTGTAAATCGGCTGCAACTGTCAAATTTTCTGTTTCAGTAACATTCGTCCTTTCTGTATTCTTGTCTGGCCCATTCATACCTTTCCCTGTGCTTGCTCTATACATTACAGTCCTCACACCCAATACTGAGTTGATCCATGGTGTGCTCTGATGATTTCGAATGCATGTCAAATTTTTCACAGTCCAAGCATTCTTCATTCCCCAATTTTGTGATAGAAATATTCATGAAACATACCTCTTTTCTGTATAATTCGTATGATACTTTGAAGTTGGGATGGTTCACTTTGAAAAGTTCATACATCTTTTTCACTGAGAAGTCACTTGGAAGATATAATCGGTTGGGAGCGTATTCTCTCCTGTAGTGTGATATTGTGGAACGGAATGATTTGATATGTTCCACAATGATATTTCGATCAATTTTCCTGATCTTAGGATGCTTTCCTCGCATATCTTGCTTAGGCGTCAATGATGAGAATTCCGAATCTCATACAGATTTTATGATTCGATCATTATTATCATAACCAAGGGTAGACAAAAGAAAAGTTTCACATACGAAGTTTTCAATTCCATTCTCCTGCTTCAGAACATATTTGAAATAATGCTCTCGTCTAGAATTCTCTTTTCTAGAGGTATTCCTTTTCTTTAGTACTTTCTTGATCCAGCTTTTAACAAGAGTTCTTTGTGCAAGTTTATTCAATTTCCAGAAATGTTCATTGATTCCCTGTTGCCTCTGAAAGTTCATTTTTTAGAGCATTTGAGTCGACAACTATTACTGCATGGTGGCTTGACTTTATGTGCATTTACTTTCGCTTCATATTTTTTTCCATTCTTTCTTTGACAGTCTCAACAAATACTTTTCTCTTTCGGATCGCACCTTTTTTTGTATAAATATTCTTATCCTCACCATTTTCTCCACATGTCTACTACTGTATGTTCAATGATTTCAATCATTGTTTCATTGTTTCATCATTCATCATCATTGTTTCCTTTAGGTCATACCTTGGCTCATAGACCATATTTTCTGCAGGTAACTCCATGCCATTCTCATCATTTTCAAAGCTGCTGCTACTATCAGAATTTGTGTTTTCTGGAGGAAAATACTCTTCATCTTCATCTTGCCTGTGAGCCGCCGACTGTTTATCCTTTTTGAATAAGGACATTTTTTCATGCAGCTCTTAATTGAGAGCATTTCGCATAATAACTTTGATACGATTGAGCACACTGAAAACAAAAATATCTGCATACATTTTATTAATTCACATATCAAAGAATATTTTCTTACGTGCCACGTAGTCATTCACTGAATAATACAAGCCCTATTAGCATCAATTATTGCAAAATCAGGGGAGAGCCTGACAGTATAAACACTATATTTTTAGGTTATGTGAAAACTACAACCGTGAAGCATCAAAACGAATAAGAGTTCTGTACTATCTGTATTAATTTTCACATTAAATAACATGTATCATTAAAATACTAGGCAGAATTGTCCTATCTACATGTTTCATGTTATTTAGGACATTATTGCGTAGGTCAGGTCAAATTGGACGATTTAGGTATGTATGATAGTGGTATTTTGTAGTTAGGACGTATTTCTCAGATGATATAATGAAATACTAAGGCACTTAGGACGTTCAAGTTAAGCACAATAGACAAATATAGTATACAGCTATCAATATAATATGTTACCAACAATACAGCTAAAAATGCAGATAGGACATTCTTACTAAGGAGGGCAGAATTGTTTTGAATCTTTTTATTATTTCTATGTCGATGCCCGTTATTGAAGCTGATTCTTCAGCGTTCTGAAAGAATCGTCGTGAAGTGTTACCGTCATTAGTGTTGCCATACCCAACCTTAGGAATATCCACGAGTAATCCCAACTTGTCTTTAAAATCTTTTTGAATTTGTTTCTTGGCATTTTTGTCGGTTACGAAACTCTTGTAGACTTTACCATGTAGTAAAATCTCACCATTCGTGGTCGTTTTCTAAGAAACGACTTTCTGTACTATTACAAGCAAGCCATTTACGTTTATATACCACTTTAAAAGTATTAACGAATTTTTGAAGTTCATCACTTTTTTTCGGAGGACACTTAGTTATTTCAACCAGT